CGTTTCTCTTCAACTCCTGAATGCAGGTTTCTCTCAACATTCTTGCTCTCGCCGAGGCAGGTTTCATTTTTTTTTTCAAACATGGAGATGTGAATGTTCGCACAAGACATGTCGATCTATCTTTTATCCTGTTAAACTGTTTCTATTGGGCCAGTCAAGTAATTCGTTCAACATCCGCCAGTCATCTCCATATGCCGATCACAAACCCCAGGTGCTGCCTGATCGAGGACATCGAGTGCCCAAACAATGTATTTTCCTGCCACCATTTATCTGAATTTTTCTTCTTATGATCTTTCGCATATCCACTCTTATTGGAATCTAGCCGATCTAAGTGGTCAACCGACACACCCACATTGTCTGGTTTGCTCGTCACATGTCATCTTGCTACAGCAAGTCTTTGCATCCTTGGCAAAGAACGGTACAAAAGAGACCTAATGTAGATGGCTGTCAGCATGTGGAACCCCTGGTTCGAATGAGAATTCCCATAGGGCATCGTTGCATGATCAGGCCCAATGAAGTGATCGATGGCCATAGCACGCAAGTTGCTTGTGTTGTACAGACTTCACCAAACTAGATATAAAGCTTGAGCACGGATAGTCCATCCACGCTGGTCTTCTAAGGAACTGGTGTTTGAAAAGAAACAAATGGTCCCATCGCGTGTTGCTTTGTATACATATAAAAAGCTGCCCCCTCCCACGTGCAACAGAGATCTCGTCAACTTGCTGCATCTCGCTGAAATTCAAAAATACACTTTTCGTTGAATATCATCGTTATTATAGTCGCACTGGTCACGGCTGCTACTGCTAAACCGCATCCGCTAATGGCGTACTTGTAGTTTCTTCTTAGTGGGACAACAACCTGAATGGTGGGCCTAGCTTTAATTGCCACAAAATACTTGCTATCTTCGAAAGCTTGTAAATGGTATCCAATTGAGCGGACATATTGCACCACATTGCGTTCACGTTCTCGTTGAAAATTACGCTTGTTATCGCTGCGTGTCCCTAGTACGTCGTATGTTGTAAAACTTCTTTCAACGATGATGGAAAAACGTCGCTTCAAGTACATTCGATTAAGTGAATAAGCATTGAAGGAACCTTTTTGTTCGTGCCCAAACAGTACAGATTGAGCCAGTCCATGTTAAATTGTGATTCCATGTGCTCTTCTGGTTTGCAAGAGGTTCTATGTGCCTGATAAATAAAACAACGCGATACATTAGTGGAATAGTATTTTAGATATGCCGTTAGCGAATCATCGAATTTCCTTCTAATTTCACAGAAACATACCCATTTACCGATGAAGAATGGGATGAGTGGATCACCCACTTCAGTCCCCTGTAGAACTCGCATACGATGTGCAAATGCCGTTCAAGGTATGACATAATGCACATAATAATGATTCGCTGACGTAAAAATTCGGCACAATTTATGCTGACCAATAACGACGGCACCGTGTTATCAGTAAACGGCATTACGTATGAAAGGTAAGAGGCCAAATATGCATGCCGAATAGCTATACGCTTAGTCCAGCTGGAAGAAAGTGCAGGATATATGCACTGGCTTTGTGGAAATGGGGGGGGGGGGCATTCGCCTTAATGGCAAAAATAGTCTACCTCTTCTTGCTGGCTTTGGTGCACTGGGCGACAAAATTTCGACCGCTTGTTGGGCGAAATCAAGCCTTGTGTGTAGTATATTTTATCGACAGCAAGGAAAATACCTGCCGCGTGCGCTGCTCACCCCACCAAGTCCAGCCGAACGAGCTTGTTTCATGAAATGTTACAGCCACCTCAGCTAAGTTTGGAACGCACAATCACAACAGCATGAACACATCGTCCATGTGCAAGGTCTTTGATGATGGATCATTTTGATACGAATCGGACCACTAATGTGACGGATACTTCAAACACCTTCAACGTCGCTCTTACTGGTCCTGACCTAAATTATGCCATGTCACCCAAGTCAGTTGTACTTGATAAAACGACTGGCGCTTCGAAAAGAAAATGATCAGAGAGCTATCTTTTCATTCTCGAAAGCTCTCAGACGACCCGGACAACAAGCCCATGTCCAATTCAGCCAGTTGCAAATATGATCCCGACAATTTCGGTGATGGCTGTCCTTGGTAGCTTTATCTCGTACTCACGTCCAACGATGCCTTCTGCACCTTCTGAGTATGATTAAATAGCTAAAGCCACTTCGCGAGCGTGGCTTACTCACCATGTACGAGGATAACAAGGTTCATTACAGTCTAAATATGTGGTCGGTACGGGTGCTAAGTTATCCTATCAAAACAACATCAAGCTGTCATGCCTAGCTTTTAGACTACCTAACAAATGGTACAACAAACTTTATTTGGTTCTACACGTGTACATAGGACTCAATGCTCTATTCGCTTGCATTGTGGGGTTATTCCGATGGCAAGAACGTGAAACATAGGATTTTTATTTTGTTGTCGTTTAGATAATGCCACAGTTGTGGCAAGCACATTCCATCTGCAACGTCTCCAGTAGCAACAGAACCTGTCGGACTTGAATTATCAAATTCCTTCACAGCCACATTTCCGTTTATCGAAGGTATTTATCCGCATTTATCAAATGAAACCACCTCTGAATTCCTTTCCCGCACCCGGATTCTGAACGGATGACAAACGTTTGGTCAGGATTTTTCCATCACAAAAGCATAGCTTTTTTTTTTTTTTTGTTTTCTCTACTTTCAGCCTCATGACAGAGTGTGGACAAACCGTAGATATTACGGCGAAAAATCTCTCATGGTTCTAGGATATCATGTCGCCACCATGTGTACGCGTATGTTACCTGAACGGTCTCTGGGAGCAAAAACTCTTTCTATCTCTCTTTTCCCTTGTTAACTCTTTATATCGACACGTCTACCTCGCATCTTGATGTTTTTCACAGCCCATCATACCTTTTGATCAACAAGGACAAAACAGCTTACGTTAAAGGCTCAACCTGGCCATGCCTCGCGTGAGTCAATGCGCTTCTGCGCCACCTGAGGTGTGATTCAGAATCAACACACATTGTCCAAAGTCGTTTATTTTGTCTTAGCCTCAAGACGACCAACCGCTCCTAATACCCCAGGTCTGCGTGCTCGCCTGGCTAGCCAAATGGAACTGTCGAAGCAGGGATATATGCCATACACGTATTTTCCAATCAGGTCCACGTCCATTCTTTATGCTCTTCATCTTTTCCTAGCACACTTTGCTGGCTTGCATGTCACTAGCTATGGCTTTGTCGTCGCTGCTTTCGGCTCCATCTTCATCCAGGACGGTAGCAACTCATACCGTTCTTACAAGGCAAGGCATTTTTGTTTGACATCACCTTCGACTGAGCGACATTGAGATTAAAGACGGAGTTTTTTTTTTTTTTTTTTTTTTTGGCCTGTATTTTGCAAGACAGGGCATATGCTGTCGCGATGAGGACTCGTTCCAAACTGTTCGCTTGTTTGAATATCCTGTATTTGATGGCATCAAGGAAGCTTGACGCACAGGAATCAACATCCGCGATACCAGGACGGACTTGCCTTGTCGACAGCAGTGCTATGGTACGACTCGATGTGACATTCATGAAAAGGCACGTAAGCCTTTCGACCCGCTTCAAGTCACGCTAATGAACAGGGTGACTTGCCATAAAATTTGATTCACTGTTGACAATCACTCCGCCAACACTTCACGGTCGTTCAATTGAACCACACATTCCCACTGTGCACGATGCTATCGAGAATGGAAAAAGACGCATAGAAAAGAGTACAAAGATTCTGGATTCTAGGACGTGACTCGGTCCACCATCTGAGGAATCTTAGACCACTCAATCATATGCATGCCTTTGAAGTTACTTGGTATGCATGAGATCGACGGTTTTGTTTCGCTTCGCAAATGCAGTGCTTTATAATCGACTCTCTATTCCACGGGAATGTGCCTACGCCTCTGTCGTGCTATGCCGTGATTTGACGGTATTGCATCATTTACTCAATGGCTACGATCACATTTGGCTGTGATGCGTCGGGCGCTAGCGCACGTATTGCAATTGTCCCCTGCTTAAACCCAAACTTCAGCCTTCTGCATATCCGTCGAAAAGGGGTACGGGTGTTTAGGTGTGAATCCAATGGCGCAAGGATTATAGCTGCGCGGTGCATGGTCTTAAATGATGATACAGTGTCGATCAAACTTTCAAGTCAAACTTTAAAACGGGATGTGCGTCTTAGTCATTTGGGCTGAGCAAACTCTTTTATCTGGGCCCGACCATTGGCTCTTTTCATGATGTACAAACGGGATGAGTTTACATGTTGCAAAACGCCATACATCCTCTTAAAGTTTTTTTTGGCGCACGTGTACACGTCCTTGATCGATTCGACAGGGCACACGCGGTTGCCCCAACAGCCCGAGATAGGCACAATTATGGTTAAATACCGACGATGTTTTTCATCTTGTTCGCCTGTCCCTCATGCAGCCCTGTCTCGCATTCGCCCTGTTAGCACTGGTGTTTTTTTGCCACCGCCCATGCTTCAAGCGATGGCTTGACACTCAAACTACACCCTCGTGTAATTAACGCCTCTGTTCTCCAGCCTGCAACGGCATCAAGGAGTATCTTTGGATCTCACGATGCTCATCTCGGCATTGTGCGAGCATGGACGACTGTCATTGAAGTTGGCTTCCCCCCCAGAAAAGTGGAATTGTCTGTGGATACAGGCTCACCAGATTTGGTCATTGACCATGGATCGTACAACCCCAGCAAGTCATTGACTAGTAAAAACATGCACAAAGATTGGGCTTCTTTTGGCAACGGTCGCGTTTATACAGACGAGGTCAAGCTTGGTAATGTTAAGGTCAAGGACGTGGTTGTTTATCACCAACGCAAGAGCGACAACACTGGCTACGGCGACCACATACACGGCATCTTGGGCGTCATGCCTCGTGACACTTCATTGGCCTCGGACCATCCCACGATTGTCGACGCAGCTATGGACCAACATTCATTCAAGAAGAATATATGGCAGGTGACATTCCGTGATGATGGCGAGTCCTCGCTGAACATTGGAAAGATTGACAAGTCCGAGTATGAAGGCGAGCTTGGATGGGTGAGCTTGGACGACGGTCAAGACGAATGGCGTCTGGAAATCGACATTAACGGGTACAAGGCGTTTGGTGTTTTGGATACTGGAGGCACCCATCGCATGGGAGCGAGCGTCGATCGTGTAAAGGCACTCTTTGACAGGCTGCCCATCAGGTTAACTGAAGTTGGTGCCAATGACAGCCATATCGAGGGATGGTTCGACTGCGATAATCTTCCGGACATTACATTCACAGTCGGTGGTCGTCAACTCAAGTACCCAAAGCGATTCATGACGGAGAAGAGGCCCGGCGATGATTCAAAATGCAAATTCCAAGTCTGGGGAGCAGATGATATGACTGAATGGAACTTTGGTAATTCGATTTTCCGTATGGCTTCGGTTGTATTTGACATGGACAATCGACGCGTCGGTTTTGCGCCACAGAGGAAAAAGTAGAATCAGGCGATCTATAAGTAATTCCATGTTTGAACGAGACGTGGGTAGGCAGGTGCGTGCTCTGTTCGCCGTCTCTGATCAAATACATGGTTTCAGACGATAGCGTGAGCATGCTGATGTTAGTGCGGGCACCGATGGAGCGACACCAGTGTCGACGATTGTCTCGGCATCTGAGGTGCCATGTAATTGATTAGTCATGCCAGAGGCGCGATAGTAGTGTATATCTTACACAGGCCTAAAGACATGGTGCATGGAGAAGGATTTGTGTGGTGACATGATATGTGATACCCCCAAAATGCCGCCGCCTATTTGGAAAATGCGGCTCTTTTATGAATGATGAAAATGTTTTGGGTAGAACAGCCCTGTCCCATGCCAAAGACATGCTTGACAGCAGGCGGAAGGGGAACTAGGTTTATTTACCAGAACACCAGTAACATTGGCAACAGTGGACGATATAGCGACCATGCATGTCCTGGGCTATACACAGACAGAAGAATACACTGGAGAGTCGCCGATTCAAATAGCACATGACATGCTATTATACAAGAATGAACATATGCATGAGCTTGATACAAGAGAGTAGAACTAACATACATATGGGACAAGTGCGCCGCCCGCATAGTGTATATAGTGCCGTTGCGTCATACCGGGTCACTCTCTGCTATAGTAGCTGACTATTTGCTGCATAGATGCAGACCCATCATCACAAACAAACAAAAAAAAACCTACGTCGGCTTCTGCACTGAGCAATCACAAGTCTAGCCGAGATGGATCAACCTTGAATAGCGCACAGGGTAGAGTGAGTTGTTTTTATACGACATTCAACAAGTGAGCAAGCAAGGCCAAGGAAAGGCACATACACGCACATCGGGCTTAGGACGAAGCCTATGTAGCAACACGTAAGCGATCTAATCAGAGGAACAAAAGGTTGGACACAGAAACAGGGAGCAGCCAGTAATCTCCGTACAAAGATGCACGAGAGCTAAATTTAAACTCAAACAGGACGAATTGATAAAACACGACACGGATCTAGAGTGGATAATGAAACGAAAGAGGAACGATCGAATGAAAAAAATGGATCTGAGGAGGACGAGGCAGAAGTAGATGAGTATGCAGGGAGAAGAGAATGGAGCCAATCAGAAGAAGGGAGAAGAAAAGCAGAATAGAATGATAGGAGAAGAGACATGGGACAGAGAGAACATGCATGCAAATTCATGCACAGGATAGTTTGATCGAGAATACAGATGAACCAATGAAAGGCCGGATTGGGAGGGGAGAGGCTTGCAGGGCCATCAAGTAGCTCGGACACGCAGAAAAAACCGGCGCACCAGGAGAGGAAGAAGAATTGCACGAGGGGCAACAAAAACGACGGAACGACGCAGAAGAAGGCATCTCTCAACCAGCGTCCATTCTGGCTAGCATAGATGAAGCTGCTCCAACTTGCAGCGGTGTTCGCTGCTGTGGCAGGAGGTGTCAAGGCATCTCCTGTTGCGCAGGGAACAAGCTTGGGAGTAGCGCAGATTCTGGCAGCGGATGATGCGGCATGCCCGGCACCGTCGACGGTGACGGTGACGAAGGGCAAGGGTGCATCGCCGCAAAAGACAGAAGCGCCTAAGGAACACGGCAAAGCTGTGACAGAAACGGACACGGAAACACTGACAGAATATATCACAGTGAATGGAGACGATGATGATGAACCAGGAACGACACGAACGACAACGACAACGACACAGCAGGTGACGGTGACGAAGGGATCGCGGAAAGGCGGTAAAGGAAAGTCGCCAGGAAAGGCGGCGCCAACGGCGTGCAATGCGCCGGCGCCGGAGACGACGATCACACGGACGCTGTATGAGATTCACACACTAGAGTCACAATGTGCGGTGCCAGTGCAAGGAGGAGGGAACCCACTGGCGCCAACGAGCCATCCGAATAGCGGCAACAAGGGCGGTGGCTCTGGAAGTGGTAACGGTACTGGCCAGGGCAACCAGAACGGAGGCGGTTCTGGATCCGGCTCGGGCAGCAAGGGCTCGGGCTCGGGTTCTGGTAGCAACGGCTCTGGGTCTGGATCGGACAACAACGACAACGGATCAGGCTCTGGCTCCGGTAACAAGGGCTCGGGCTCTGGCTCTGGCTCTGGGTCTGGTTCTGGTTCTGGTTCGGGTAACAACGAGAACGGATCAGGCTCTGGTTCTGGTAACAAGGGCTCGGGCTCTGGCTCAGGCTCTGGCTCGGGCAACAATGACAACGGATCCGGCTCTGGCTCCGGTAACAAGGGCTCGGGCTCTGGCTCTGGCTCTGGCTCGGGCAACAATGACAACGGATCCGGCTCTGGCTCCGGTAACAAGGGCTCGGGCTCTGGCTCTGGCTCTGGCTCGGGCAACAATGACAACGGATCAGGCTCTGGCTCCGGTAACAAGGGCTCGGGCTCAAGCTCAGGCTCGGGCAACAACGACAACGGATCCGGCTCTGGCAGCAACGGTTCGGGTTCGGGCTCCGGTAGCAACGGCTCTGGGTCTGGATCGGACAACAACGACAACGGATCACGCTCTGGCTACAGTAACAAGGGCTCGGGCTCTGGGTCAGGCTCGGGCAACAACGACAACCGATCCGGCTCTGGCTCCGGTAACAAGGGTTCGGGCTCTGGCTAAAGCTCTGGCTCGGGCAACAACGACAACGGATCCG